TCTGAAAATCGGGATCTAAACATCGGGTTCTGAAAATCAGGCTCTGAAAACTGAGACCTAAAAATCATGCTGTGAAAATCAAGATCTATAAATCGGGCTCTGAAAATTGGGCTCTGAAAATTTGGATCTAAAAATCCGGTTCTAAAAATCGGGCTCTGAAAATCGGTATCTAAAAGTCAGACTCTGAAAACCGAGCTCTGAAAATTGTGCTCTGCACATCCAGCCCTGCCCCTCATGGCCCCGGTGGGCACTCGGGCACGGCAGGACAGGGTGGGACACCCCGGACAGTGCCAGCCCCGCTCACCTGCAGCTTCAGGGGGTTGTTTTCCACGGCGAGGACCTTGGTGAGGATGCTGGCGCCCAGCGTGGTGCGATAATCCTCGTAAAACGTCTTGTGCACGTACTGATGCAGCAGAGAAGTTTTGCCCACCCTGGCGACGGGGAAAAGGGACCCTGGTGAGGCTCTGCCCTGCTCGGSGGGTCGGTCCCAACAGAGCAGGGGCTGCACACCCCAAAACACACCGGGGATTCCTCCCTCCATCCTTCACCAGCTCCTTACCCCAGAGCTCCGATGATGATGATTTTYAGATCCACCTTCTTGCTGGCATCCATGGACGGGCCCTGCGGGAYGAGAGGGGGCTGTGGGGACGGGACCAGCTCCTCTGCGAGTCCCCTCCCTGCTCCCACCCCCAGCCTGGCACCGCCACCGTGTGCCAGCACCGTGCCCGTCCCCGGCCATCCCCGGGGGCAGAACCGGCCACGGCCCCGCCCGCTCCGGGCTSCCGAGGAGCCGCAGCACGCCCGGACTCGCCGGTTCATCGCCATTCAGAGCTGCCCGGAGCCACTTCCCCGCTCCTCGCACTCCCTCCGCAGCGCAGTCCCTCCCTCTGAGCCCGGCGCACCCGCCTGGGGTTCTGGGGGACATTACATTTATTKCAGGAGACCCCAGGCGGGCGGAATTCCTTGGTGCACCAAACACAGCATCCCAACCCGAAAATCCCCCGCGGGATGTGTCCCCACCGTGTCCCAATGTCCCCACCGTGTCCCCACCGTGTCCCAGTGTCCCTACACGCTTTGAGGCTGTTTAGAACCCCTAAAATCCCTCCCCAGATGGGTCCAGCATCCTCCAGCGGTCCCGGCAGCCCCCTCCCCGCGGCAGCGCCCGGCCCAGGCGCAGATGGAAACCCTGGCAGCCTCATCCCCGCATTTTTCCCCGATGCGCTGGCCAGCCCTGCGCCGTTCCCCGCTGGAACACCACCAGGGAACTCTCGGCTGTGGGRTCGCGGCCCCTTGAGCCCCTCTGCCCCCCCTGTGCCAGCCGTGCCAGCCGCGGGCAGCATCCCCGGCACCGGCAGAGCCTCGTGTCTCAGCACGCACAAACTTCCCCGTCTCCCTGCCAGCTTTTTTGGGAGGCCAGACGTTTTTCAACTCAAAATGGAGTTTCCCCAACCTTTTTTCCCTCCTCGCTGTTGCTCCGGGGGTCTCGGTTGCCGCCGGGCACTCACCTGCAGGGCACACACTGCCGGGGCAGCCGAGGCTCCCGGCTCCGCTGCAGCCGGGCCAGGGAGGGGAGAGAGGAGGGAGGAGGACCCAGGAAAAGGCGGCCGATTCCTCCCTCCCGGGGCAGGAGGCGGCGGGGCCCCGCTCCGTGACATCAGCACAAAAAGGGGCCGAGATCCTGCCGGGGCTGCCGCGGGCTGCCGCGGAGGAGCCGCGGGCGGGCGCTGCCGTGTCCCTGGGTTTTCTCCCCATTCCGGGGCTCTGTCGCCCGTCCCCGGCTCGGGAGGATGGAGAACAAGGTTCTCCCCGTCCGCTGGAGTTTGGGGTTGATTTTCGGCCTCTCCTTGTGCTCAGAATGCTCCCGGTTCCTTCACCCACTTTCCCGGGACCCAGCTGGGGAATTTCTGAGAGATGAGAACAAAAGCCGGGCGGGGCTGCCGGCAGCGCCCTGGAGCCATCCCGGACTTTGCCCTGAAAATCCGCGGATTTGGGAGCTGGGACGGCTGAGGAGGGGCTGCGATCCCTCCCAGGGGGGCTCCGTGTCCTTTCCCAGGTGGGAGAGGGGCAGGGTGGGAATCAGGAACATTCCCAACCCCTCGGTGCCACATCCCCCCGAGCAGACCTGGGGGTCCCACCCAGCACCCGCAGCCAGAAAGACCCCAAAAAAGAGCGAGCAGAGCTGGTGACATCAACAGGAGGATGTGTTCAGTCAGGAAATGGGATTTTGGGATCTCACAGCCCCATAGAGCCATCCAGGAGCCCTCGGGCCGTCCCTCCCAGCACCAGGATAAYGCCCAGGGCTCTTTGGAGAGGGAAAACCTGCTCAGCCGCGGCTGCAAAGGCAGAGCTCTGCTTTTCAGCGTGCGAGGACAGRTCCCGAATGTTCCGAAGGATTTGGGGTTTGCAGTGGGAGCGGGGTGACCCCACCTGCAAACCCTCCTTCACCCTGAACCAGCACCTGCTGGTGGTCCCTTGCCCACCAGGTTTTGGRGTCCCTCCGAGGCCACTGGCTTTTGCAGATTTTTGCAGATTTTTGTTGATTTTTGTAGATTTTTTTTCAGATTTTTTTGTAGATTTTTTTAGATTTTTGTAGATTTTTGTAGATTTTCTTCCCTTACAGACCCTGATGGCGTCTCAGGGAGGATTGCTCCACTCGGCAGGACAAACCCTCCTCCCCCTCCTCTGCTGGTGCAATTTTGGGACCTGTCAGGCCAGAAAAATCTGTTTTTCCCCCCAGAGGGCAGGCCCTGGGAGGAGCTGGGCCGAGGCTGAGCCGGTTCTCACAGGTAAAAGGCTGAGGTTTCCCTGGAGCAGCTCTCTCCCAATCCCCATTTTCAGCCTGTTTTCACCATCCCGCTTCACCTTTGTCCTCGCAGAGATATTTTATTGCCCGACCTCCCCCCACAGCAGCTTTTGACCTCGTTCCCCTCTCATTTCCCGGCTGGGACAGGGCTTGCTCACCCTGTCAGGTGCTCGATGCCTCCCCAAGCAGCCGGGGATGGGGTTTGTGGTCAATCCCAAACTGCAGCTGCTGCTTTTGGTTAATCCCAAACTGCCACTTCTGCTTTTGGGCAGGGAGGCTGTGCCCAGCCGGGTACATCAACACCGGCTCTGGGGTTTTTTTTTTTGTCTGATTTCAGGAGAAAAGGGATTTTTCTGAATCTCCCAGGGCTGGGATTCCCTGTGGATGAAGGCGGTGGGAGCTGTGGTGAGGAGGAGGAGGAGGAGGAGGAGGAGGAGGAGGAGGAGGAGGCGGAGGAGGAGGATGAGGCCGAGGTGCCACTCAGTGAGCACAACCCCGTCCTGGTTGCTCCCCTGTCAGCAGTTCTGAGGAAAAGGCGTGGGTTGGGTGCCCTGTGACTGCGAGGGAGGTGATGAAAGCCGGGCTGGGGCTGACACAGCCGGAGGAAAGGCTGGGGATGAGSAGAGCACGGGCTGTTCCCTGCGGGAGGGGAACAAAGGGGATCCCTGCGCGGTTCAGCCTCTCTGGGGACCGCCGGGCTGCTCCTTTTTGGGGTGTTTGTGTTGGTTTGAGATGTTCCCCCAAACTGCTGAGAGGGCACGGGATGCTCTGGGATCCCCCTGGGGCAGTCCTGGTGCCAGCTGCATTTTGGGGACACTGAGTGGCCCTGTCACTTTTGGGGTCCCCAAATTCCCCTGGGGCAGTGCAGCTGCATTTTGGGGACACCGGGTGGCCCTGTCACTCCTGGGGTCCCCAAACCCCTCTGGGGCAGTSCAGCTACTCCCTGGGGACACCGGGTGGCCCTGTCACTTTTGGGGTCCCCAAATTCCCCTGGGGCAGTCCAGCTGCTCCTTGGGGACACGGGTGGCCCTGTCACTTTTGGGGTCCCCAAACCCCTCTGGGGACACCGGGTGGCCCTGTCACCCTGGCGTGCTAAGGGTTAATGTGGGAGGGGGACAGGACACCTTTGTCCGGCTGTCCCGGTGCCATCTCTGGGGCCGGGTCAGCACGGGAACGGTTTCTCCTGCTCAGTGGCACAATCAGGGCAGAGAATCCTCCTTCACGGCAAACCACGGGRCTCAGGAGCACCTTCACAGCTGGACTGCGGTATCCCAGAGCCCCCAGATAGATTGGGGTGTTCCTGAGCCCCCAGAGACACATCGGGGTATCCCAGATCTCCCAGAGACAGATCGGGGTGTTCCCGAGCTCCCAGAGACAGATTGGGGTATCCCAGAGCCCCCAGARCCATATCTGGATATTCCCAAGMTCYCAGAATCATTCCTGGGTATCCCAAAGCTCCCAGAGYCAGATCTGGATATCCCAGAGCTCCCAGAGCTGGATCTGAGTATCCCAGAGCCCCCAAAGTCAGATGTGGATATTCCTGAGCCCCCAGAGCCAGCCCTGGGTATCCCAGAGCTCCCAAAGCWRGATCTGGATATTTCCAAGCTCCCAGAGCCAGATCTGGATATCCCAGAACTCCCAGAATCATCCCTGGGTATCCCAGAGGCCCCAGAGCCAAAACTGGATATTCCCGAACTCCCAGAGCCAGATCTGGGTATCCCAGAGCTCCGAAAGCTAGATCTGGATATTCCCTAGCCCCCAGAGCCAGCCCTGGGTATTCCAGAGCTCCCAGAATCATCCCTGGGTACCCCAGAGCTCCCAAAGCTGGATCTGGATATTCCCAAGTTCCCGGAATCATTCCTGGGTATCCCAAAGCTCCCAGAGACAGATCTGGATATTCTCGACCTCTCAGAGCTGGATCTGGATATTTCCAAGCTTCCAGACTCAGATCTGGGTATCCTAGAGCTCCCAGAATCATCCCTGGGTATCCCAGAGGCCCCAGAGCCAAAACTGGGTATTCCCGAACTCCCAGAGCCAGATCTGGGTATCCCAGAGCTCCGAAAGCTAGATCTGGATATTTCCAAGCTCCCAGAGCCAGATTTGGGTATCCCAGAGATCCCAGAATCATCCCTGGGTACCCCAGAGCTCCCAAAGCTGGATCTGGATATCCCCAAGTTCCCGGAATCATTCCCGGGTATCCTAAAGCTCCCAGAGCCAGATCTGGATATTCCCGACCTCTCAGAGCTGGATCTGGATATTTCCAAGCTCCCAGAGCCAGATCTGGGTATCCCAGAGCCCCCAGAGCTAAAACTGGGTATTCCTGAGCTGCCAAAGCCAAATTTGGGTATCCCAGAGCTCCCAGAACCAGCCCTGGGTATCCCAGAGCTCCCAGAATCATCCCAGAGCCTCCAGAGCTAAAACTGGGTATTCCCGAGCTCCCAAAGCCAGATCTGGGTATCCCAGAACTCCCAGAATCATTCCTGGGTATCCCAGAGGCCCCAGAGACAAAACTGGGTATTCCTGAGCTCCCAAAGCCAGATCTGGGTATCCCAGAATTCCCAGAATCATCCCAGAGCCCCCAGAG